TAAGCAGCAGATCCGACGCTGTCAGTACAGTCCTCAATACGGGGCAGTGGGAAAGAATCAGGTACTGTTACTGCATTTACCTTGCGGAAATCTGTGCAAAAGTGAGGTGTTCCATCTGATTTTGGCGTAACCAGGCACAGAGAACTCCATGGACTATAGCTTGGGATAGCCAATCCATGCTTCAGAAGGTAGTCTACTTCTGTGTTCATCATTTCCCTTTTTGCCATATTCACACGGTAAGCATGCTGCTTAATAGGCACTGCATTCCCAACATCAATGTCGTGCTCTATTACAGTAGTACGGGAAGGCATGTCCCCAAAGAGTGTTAAATGAATGTTGACGAGCCTTTCAATGTCCAACTGTTGCTCACGGGTCAAGTGGGACAGATATATAGACATCTGGGACAGTACCTCAGAATTAAGCATTCTGGCAGCTGGCATCACAAAGTTTGAGCCCATCTTCATCTAAACTCGACCTCAATCCTGAGGAGGAGTTCAACAAGAGAGTTTCTGGAGATTAGATTTGCTCTGACGGAGATGCCACAGGCTTATCTGCGGTGCCACAGAAAGAGTCAGCTCTAGAATGAAAGGATTTAAGCATATTGAGATGGCACAAGCGTGTTTTACGCTTCCCATCTGGTGTTTTAATCACATAGTCAGTGTCATTTACTTTCTTATCCACCTGATATGGTCCACAGAAGCGGGCAGACAATGCAGAGCTAGCAGTTGGTAGAAGAACCAAAACCTTGTCACCTGGATTGAAAGATCGAGGAACGGCTTTCTTATCATACCAACTCTTCATCTTCCCCTGAGCAGAGGAGAGGGCTTCTGCAGCTGCCAACCTAGCCTTATGGCTCTCTCCACAGACGCTCCATCAATGGTCAGAGGAGCATGTTGGGTGTGCATTCTCCTGAAGTCCACAACAATCTCCTTCGTCTTCTCCACATTCAGAGAGAGATTGTTGTCAGCACACCACGTGGCCAGGCGTCTCACCTCACTTCTCTAGTCGGTCTCATCCCTGTTGCTAATGAGACCCACCACCGTTGTGTCGTCCGCAAACTTGATGAAGAGGTTGGAGCTGTGTGATGGAGTGCAGTCATGGGTCAGCAGAGTGAAGAGGGACCTGCATGCATGACCTGCTTGAAAAGTTTAGACAGAAAGTTAGTTCCTTGGTCTGTCTGGACTACTTTTGGTAAACCAAAAGTAGTGAAGAACTTTGTCAAAACTTTAATCACCAAAGGTGCAGTTATTCTCCTGAGTGGGACAGCTTCTGGAAAACGAGTCGAAGTACACATTGCAGTCAGTAAAAACTGATTACCATTCTTTGACTAGGGCAATGGACCAACACAGTCCACAATGACACGTTCAAAAGGTTCACCAAGTACTGGTATAGGATGAAGAGGAGCTATAGGAACTGTCTGGTTTGGCTTTCCTGCAATCTGACATGTTTTACAAGTGCGGCAAAACTCAACTACATCAGCCTTCAATCCTGGCCAAAAGAAATGGTTGAGTATCTTGTTGTACGTTTTTGTAACTCCCAAATGACCAGACAGGGGGTGCTCATGTGCAAGGGAGACTACATAGTGACGATACTCAAGAGGCACAACAATCTGATAAGTAGTGCTCCAGTCACAGTCATCAGAACAGCTTCCCTCTACGTCTGCTGTTAAACTTGGGTGGGCAGTCCACTTGCGCATCAAGACCCCATCTTCCAAGAAATAAGAAGCCTTTTTATTTCCTGTTTCAGAAAGAGAAGTAAAGCATTTAGTCAATGAGGGATCAGACTTCTGAGCAGCAACAAGGCTTTCACGTGTGACTGGCAAGTCTAACTGTGGGAGATGGAGATCCTTCCACTTCTCAGTAGTATCCTTTGAACCACTTTTAAGATCAATCAGGGTTTGCAAATCATCTGTAGCCAGAGCCTGAGCCAACGAAGAGTCTGACAAATCAATTTCTGCAGCTTCACGTCTTGCTTGAGCCCTGGTGAGAACACAAGCAGGAAAACAGATGGAAAACAGGTTGCTAGGTCGTTGCTCTTCAAGTTTGATTCTAGATCATTTGTTACTTCGGGAACAGGTTGCACTTTTCCACCAGCAATATAATTTCCCAAAATAAACTGCACCCCTTTTATGGGAAGTGAGGGGCGTACTGCCACAGAGAAGATGCCATTAACCAACTTTGATTTGATGTGTACATAATGCAAAGGAGCTTCAACATAGCCCATTTCAACTCCTTGAATCAGAATGCTACCATGACAAGAGGAATGGTCACTCAAGGGTAATACATCAGATAAAAATCACAGATCGTGACCCTCCCGTATCTCTGAGTATTTGAATGGGTTTTTCATCCTCAGGCTTCCCAGTCAGTGACATAGTACCATCTAAGAGAAAGGGTTTGAAGCAGGGATCAACTCCTTCACTTTGGTCCCCTCTCTCAGCACAAATGGTTTTAATTAAGCCTACTCCTTTTGGTGACTGGTTCTTGCGCTTCAAAGTGGGACATTCAACAACAACATGACCAAGTTTATGACAATAGAAACATTCCCTTTCAGTCCTTGGAGCAAAAGTCTGTCGTGGGCTTGAAGGATCCTTTCGTGGGGGAGGTTCTCTGGTGGTAACTTCACGTTTCTGCACAAAAACAGTTTTATGAGTCAGCACAAATTCATCAGCTATCACAGCTGCTTCTTTCAAAGTGAAAACCTTCTGTTCATTAAGGTGTACAATGCGTTCTGGCAGGCCATTTTTGAACTCTTCCAGCAGTATCAGTTCACGTAAGGAGTTGTAGTCAGGAACTTTACTTGCTGTTATCCATCTATCAAAAAGAGTAGCTTTTTCACGAGCAAACTCTACAAAAGTCTGATTTGCTGTTCTTTTGTGATTGTGAAAGCGTTGCCTATACGCTTCGGGAACAAGTTCATAAGCAGCAAGGATAGCAGACTTCACTACATCATATTTCAAACTTTCTTCCAAAGACAAAGCAGAACAGACTTGTGCTTTGCCTACCAATTTGCACTGAAAAAGCAATGGCCAAACTTCTCTCGGCCAGTGCAATGACGCCGCAACACGTTCAAACACATTGAAATATGTATCAACTTCTGATTCACGAAATGGAGGTACCAACACAATGTTTTTACTCACATTGAAACCACCTGGGTTTACATGGGAGGAGGTTGTTTCATCAACAGATGAATTTGCAGAACTAGGTTGAGTAGTAGTACTTCTTGAAGTCTGTGCCTGTAACTCCAACTGACGCAGTCTGACCTCCCTTTCAATCTGCAACTCCAGCTCCAACCTTTTCAGCTTTAACACCTTTTCTGTCTCTATTTCCAACTCTGCCTGACGAGCTTGGGCTTTATCCTGAGCCTCCAATTGTAATTTAGCCAAACGTACCTTGAGTAATACTTGTCTTGAACGAGGAGAAGATGGAGTAGCAAAAGAAGGTGAGCCATTAGTGCTTAACTTTTCCACCGTTTGTTGCTCCCCAGCAGCAGGGTTTTGCCCTTCTTCCTTTAACACAGCAGGCTTCACTCCTTCATTAGGGGACCTGTCAAGAGGAACTGGCAAACGAGGTGATTTAGAAACAGGCCTTCTTCTACAAGTTTGTTTGAAACAGCAGTTTTCAAGTCCTCTTTCACCATTTGCCTTGATACATTTAACTCAAAGTGTGCTGCTATAGCAAACAAATCATGTTTTCTACACACATTTAGCTCCTCCCAAGAAGGATTACTCAGAAATGCACTCAAAGTGAAAACACCAGTTGCCATACTAACTACCTCTGCCAAATACACCAGCAGAAACAAACTCCAAACCTTCACCATCCACAAATGGATTAACCAGGACTTTTATCCCAGACGAACCGCCAATTTATGTTACGTCCCCTGGCTAGTCTAGGGGGTTGGCCAAGGCCAACATAACAAAACATCCCTGATGTAGAAATAAAAGAAACTTACCTAACTCCAAAGAAACAAAATATACAACCTATAACCATAACCTACCTAACAACACAAACAGGAGAAAACAGGGTGTCAAAACAAAAGGCAGCTCTCCCCTACAAGCAGTCTGAACATGAAACAACAATGCTCACACAAACTACAAAGGCCTGCACAAGTATGGCAACCAAAATGGCCAGAGGGCACAGAAGCACAGCTCCACAGGCCTTAAGTAGTGCTCTGCTGATTACCAATTAGCCGGACTCTGCGCAACATCCAATCAGGACAGAGGAGGTGGAGCCTGGACAAAACAAAGGGTTAATAAGGAGAAGAGACATCCTCCTGGGGGATGTAACAAAGGTTAAAGTTACGTATGATGATTCTTGTATACTTTTATTTTAAGTAACAACTTAGAGCTTTAATTTATAGTGTGTTATTTTGAAAATAAGGTGAGCACCTCTAATTAACTGAGAAAATAATTTCATGGGACCTCAGAGGTTCGATGTCTTTGGGTTACACAGGTTTTATCAATTGTAATACACACGTTTGAACACCAGGGGGCGACAAACTCCACGAAGGAACATCAGCGCTTCAGGGAGCTGTTCTTTCAGCACCACAGCCTCTCACACAACACTCACACAACATCGCTGCGCTAATGCCGGACATTACTTACACAGGAGCTCGTAATTATGAAAAATAAATAATAATAAAATAATAATTGAATGTACCGCTGGGTTCATATCTTCAAGCACTCAATGTCAGCCAAGCCTCATTCACTCTCGCTACTAAGCATCATTAAAGAAAAATCGCGTAATCAGAGCGGGGATGTCTGCCTGTAGCGCCGTGCGCTGTAGCTGAAAAATCGAGGCTTTTAGTAACAAAGAACAAAACAAAAAACAACAAAAACGCGAGAAAAGTGACATTTAGAGTGGCTACTTCACAGAAGAGTGCGAGAGCTGCAACGATTGGATCGGGCGATAATCATCACAATAAAGCCATTAAATGCGTAAATTCCTACATGTGTGCACAAATGCAACCCACCATTCAAGAAGAGAGAGAAAGCGAGGGGGGAGAGAGAGTCCACCATCGCAACACCCCCTCCTTCCGTCCCCTCCACCACTCACAGAAACGGAATTAAAAAATCTTTAATATCTTTCCAGCAACTGGCCTCCATTGCTGCAGCGCTGAGCGCGCGCACACACGCCGACACTGTGGGCCTTTAAAGCGTCGCCAGAGCGGAAGGAGGAAAGTGACCCTCCGATTCAAGAGCGGCTTCTTTACACTGAAGGAAAAAGGGGGGAAACGGCTGGAGTGGATATGTTGAATGTATAGCGCTGCTCACATTGACATCGTGACAACACCAGCGCTGTCCGTGGATCTGTGCGAGTCGCTCTCCTGATTGTGTAATATCATTTTTTCACCCCCTTCCTGCAAAAGCGGCCGAACCTGCACCCGAGAGCGCAGGAGAGAGAGCAGCGGCAGAAGCAGCAGAAGAAGAAGAAGAAGAAGAAGAAGAGGAGGAGGAGGAGGCGAGAGCAGGGAGATCGCAGCCTTCATCAGAATTTATTTTTTCTTGTTATTACATGGCGCAAGGGCTATACAAACGGGACCGTCCTGGGTGTGATACTGCCACGGTGAATTTGGATATCCACGCAGCAGCAGCACCACCATCCTCCTCCATCCGCCGAAGAAGCACCGTGGGTTGCGACGGCGCCCACACCGACTCCTCATCCTCCTCCTGCCGGCTCCATGTCGAGTGATGGTCGGCTTGCCTTGCTGGATGCTCCCCGCTCTCTCCGGATCGTCGACCACCGAACCTCCTCTGACCGCAGACCCCCATTTTCGGCGGAAACCTTCCCAGAGCTATAGGGCTACATATGGAAACTGGGGATCAAAATTTTAGGAAAAAGGAAAATCTAAGCGGTTAATTTATTTTTTTAACTAATTTATTACTATTTTTGTTAGGTTTCGATCTGGTTTTGAGCGTGTGTGTTTCTTTGCGCCGGCTAATGAATTAATTTAGTCGTTGAGCCTTGATTTCCTCATTCCACCGGGTTGATTTGTGAGAAGACAGATTTGCTTTTAACCTCACAATAGGCTGTTATAAAACACGCAGGGAATCGCTTTTATTTCCTCTCGACAGGACTCGAATCGGTCCGTTTGTTTACTCTTCGCTGTCACCACTAATATGACAGATTTAGATTTTGTCCTTCGTTTCCTTCCCCAGTTTATTTTTACTAATAAAAGCCACTAGAATAATACTATTAATAACAACAATAGTCTTTAGAATAGCTCTCTTTCTGAATACTTACTAGTAAACGTAATGTTATAGCCTTTGACTAAAGCAACTTGTTGTAACAGACGTATTGAACTGTTGTACTTCAAACCTGCCATTACTCCAACACCGCACCCCCCACCCACCCAGCCGTCTCTTTGCTCCATTTGAGCTCGTGTAAATTCAGCTCAGTGCTTATAGCTGTGATCTCTACAAGTCAACGAACAGGTTGTACAAAATCAGCCTTGCTTGTCTTTTTAGGCTCCTCTTAGTTACCCCAGGCTTTAATTAACCAGTCATAGATCTGTGTTAATAATCACATTTGTAGCTTTTGTTTTCTTGCTGCAAGTGGCTCCAGTGCTGGGCTCCATCTGCAGCTCCAGGCCTGCTGAGGTGCTGTCATCCTCTGCATACCTAATTTTTCCACACATCTTTTTGGGTGTGAAAGTTAAAACAAACATAGAGGAGAGACTTCACCGCCTCTTCCTCTCTCCCCCTTCTCTCTGCCATAGTTAGTTTTTTCTCTTGTTTTGGTCCTCACCCAAACGCAACCATAAGGTTCCTACCGCATCCTCCGCCTCCTTCTTCCCTCTCCTTCCGCTCGAGTATATCCCGTTTTTTCGGTTTGATTTGGTCCCGCAAATTTTCAAATATTTACTTCCTATATATCAAGAGGAAAGGGGGTCCCCCTTTCATGGAATGCGGAAACATGGGTCTGTTCGACCGCGGAGTCCAGATGCTGCTGACCACGGTGGGCGCCTTCGCGGCCTTCAGCCTCATGACCATCGCGGTCGGCACGGACTACTGGCTGTACTCCCGCGGCGTCTGCAGGACCAAGTCCATGAGCGAGAACGAGACCAGCAAGAAGAACGAGGAGGTGATGACCCACTCGGGCCTGTGGAGGACGTGTTGCTTGGAAGGTAAGAGGAAAGTCGGTTCTTCTGTGGTGCTGTAGTGCAACATAAACTTTTCCAACGTGTTCATTTGCGTGCGTTTGAAGCCGCCCGCCCGAGAGGCCTCAGCACTGCCACGACACAAGTGTACTGTGGGAGGGGAACCTATTCTCTCTCTTTTTCTATGCTACTCAATGTAAATGAGATCCACTGCAGAGTTTCCCTGCAAAGGGTGTTTAAATGTGTGTCAAAAGCCAAACGATCTCTTAGGATACTGAATACGTCACTGACCTTCTTGGTGCCTCAAATGATACAATCTGATAGAAGGAAAGTAAAAATGCAACATGTGACCTGGCTGCTGCTTATGAGCTTATATGTGTTCTGCATTTATGGGGAAAGAGATTTCTACCTTATACCAAACAAATCAACTTGCTGTAAAGATCTGACACCATCATTTAGGTTTCATGTTCTAAATCTGTTTGAAATGAACTTCACTTTTTAGCACTTAGTTATGTTTTGTTGAAAAAGAAACAAAGAAATTTCACTTTTAGCCGAAATGACAAGTCCATTTTCCAGCAGGGTGAAACAGGTTTCTGTGAGGAAAACCCAAAGGACTACACGGATGTGCAGCTAATAGATGAGAACAATTCGGATTAGAATGAGTTTTTCTGAATTTGTGGATGGTTTCAGTTTTCATCTTTTTCATGAACAAACCAAAACTTATATCAGTAGAAATGGCATCTGCGTCTTGCAATGGATCACAAGGTCAAGAAAAGTTAGCATGGATCCCAAAAAGTAGGCTTTCCACATAAATTCTGTCTAAAACTAATGTAACTCATTAAATCTCAGCAGTTTTGAGCTTTGGAAGAAACTGTTGTAACTTTTACCTGGTGTAAAATAAGCCCTTATATAAAAATCACGAAACTGAATTGCTGCACTTCAACGGTTAATTTTGGTGTTTAGCTCCTGCAGGCAGGCTGAATCAGGTTTCCGGTTGCATAAAAGTCACCCACACCAGTCTGGAATTGTTTATTCAGTCCGGCTTTAGAGTTTAAATAATAAATTAACAACACATTCACAGGCTGTAGGTGGAGATGAACCTTCATCATATATCACCCTGATATATTGGCATGCCAATAAGCTGGTCTAACCCTAATTAAAGGAAGCTGCAGGAGATCTGTACCTTTAAAGAGGATGTGACACCGGGGCAGCACGTTGGACAGAGCGTGAGGACCCAAAAGTCGAGATGCAGTCACATCTGTCAGCAGGCCTGACCTGCCTGACAACCCTGATGATGGCAGAGCTACCTTCGACCTCCCTGTGCCCGGTACTTTCTGAGATGTCAAACTGCCTCACGTCCTGAGTGCAGGTTTTCAGACGACCTCGAGTGTCTGCCCTGTCAGACGGCGGCGGCGTGTTTCCTGTCATGCCCCGGTGGAGGCGGTCGGTGCTGACTTGGAGTGAGGTGCTGTAACCTTGTGAGGGCACAGAGCGTTACAAATCTGTTCATCGTCTTAGCTGTGAGCCCCTGAAAGGCCTCAGTGGCTGACTTCATGCTCTTCTGCCCCCTGTGATAAGCAGCACCCTCTGTTCAAAGTTTAAGAAGAAGAAACATTTAAAGCCGCTATAATGAATATCTTTAAAATAACTATGATAAAATAGCAGTGCGAAAGAGGTCGCTTGTGGAGTAGGGATGAATTATTGACCAAATCTACAGCTTTCCTTGGCTTACAGAGCTTTAAGGAGAGTTTAAGGTCATTATTTAACTGTGGAGGCAGTGCACCTCCCTCTTTGATTTCTGCTCACTATGAAACAGCAGGTTGTAAGAGACTAAACAGAGGGTGAAGGTGGAGGAGACCAAAAACAGACCAAAAAACAGGAGTGGAAATTGAAAATTTATTAGCTGGATACAAACTCAGATCCAAGTGATTTGGAGCTGGATGTGAAAATAAGAATCTTTTTGTCAACATCCAGTTAAAGACTGATAATATATTTAAAGAAAAAACAAATATGTTGCCACTTCAAATGTTTAGACACAAAAATGACATTTAAATGATGTGTGAAACAATGTGCTTTTGCTTTAAAATGAAAAAAATATATATATATAAGATTTGTCATGTTTAAAAATTCTCCCTAGTTGTGTAAAATTGACATTTCTTTCATTTTTAGTAATCATGACAGGAACAAATTAGGAAGTCAGGGGACACTGCTATAATGGTTGGGGTGAATGAATATCCGAACAAAACATTTAAATTAAATATGGCTGAACGTTTCCTGGTTTAAAACTATTGTAGAGTGCCTTGAGGCCATCATTGTTGTGATTTGGCACTGAATTTTAGATGCCAGTCAGTTGAACATACTGAACGTTTCCTTGTTGAGTCTGATGATTTGCTGCTTTTTTGTCATAACTATTAAAGTCTGAATATAAAAGCAAATTAACAAGTATTTTATGCTTTTTCAGCAATTTCAAGGCAAAACTCTAAATAACCTGGAGCACAAAAATAATCATTAATTGCAGGTCTGCTAAAAAAAAAAATAGACATGCCCGATATGCAACAACGGAAATATGTCACTCTGAAAATGAAACGTAAGGTAAAGAACAAGGAGTGTAATCGTATTCAAGTCATGCTGCTGTTCCTGTTAATGAGATTCAATACATTTACCCTTAAAAACACCTTTATTTGGTGCACAGCCCTTCTTCCGATCACAGCATTGACACCTCAGCTGTTCCCGAGAAGCTGCTCAGGTGCTGGGATCAGAAAGCTGCGGTTTCACCAACACAGCTCGAGATGTGAGGCAAAAGAGCTCAGCTGGCCTTCACCTGATAAATAAGAGGAATAACACTAAACACTGATACAGTGATTATATTAGTCGACATAGGATCACAGTTACAGCTGGAGTGTAATTGTGACAGTGACTGGCTTTTATCCCTGCCAGGCCATTATTTAATTGGCAAACAGAACAGCACGGAGTCAAGATGAGAGCAAAAAACATCACACTTAGACTCGCTGTGCGTGCATGTGTGTGTGTGTTCCTTTTGCATTAGCACAATGTGCTTCTTCCTTTGAATCCAGGATCAAAATGGCAGGAAATAAACCCAGATTTGTCATTTGTGATTCATGAATGATCCCCGGCCCAGAAGAGGCAGGGGAGTGGAAAAATGGGGCCACTGCATTTACTCAGCGGGGTCAGATTCATTTAAATTCTAATTCAAATGACTTCCTGCTCAGGAAATTGGGTCTTAAAAAGCGAGTACATTTAATTATAGGTAGTTTGAGCAATTTTATACCAAAAATTGTGAGGGGGAAATTGAAAAATAGGAAAATATAGAGCGGATGCAGCTGGAGAGAGGCAGCGATAAGCACCAAACCCTGCCTTGTTTCAGCACATAGAGAGTCAGGAGGAGAGATATCAAGTTTACATTTCAGATGTTAATTAGGCTTCAATTTGTAGCTCCGCTCTATTAAATCAAAGTGCCAAGACGGATAGTATTCACGGTTCCTCTAAAGTGAGCTGGTGATCAGGCAGCGGCTGAGGCTGCAAATAGTTGAAGTGGTCGCTCCATCCTCCTCGCAGCAGTGAATGCAGACTGTGTGTTTGGCAGCTCGGTATCCCACACATTCTGCTTACTGAGTGTACGCAGGTAGGCGACCGTTTGTGTTTGTATAACAGCTACAGAAGAAGAGAACCTGTGAAAAAGCAAAATGGGAATACCCACACTGGGTGCACCTCGACCTCTGCTCCGCTCACTGCTTGTCAGAGAAACAGAAAAATCTTTCTCCTGTGGATCTACAGAAAACTGATCATTTACTTTCCCTCAGTATAAAACCGTGCAAGTGTGCTTTGGAGGTTTGCGCTGGGTAAAACACAGAATATCTCGTATTGATTTAGCAGATGTTCACTTTTCCTGTCTAAAGCTGAAATAACTGATCAGTCAACGCTGTTTGTTGCACATTTTAGGATTTGCTGCTTTTCTTTCTCAGAAATTGATTTGAACTGTTGTTTCAACAAATCGGCTTTATATGAAAATTGAAAAAATGTCACAACTTTCTCTCAGTGAGCAAAAGTGACACCAAAATGAGGCAGAAATGGAAGCTGCCATCTTGCACTGATGACTGGAAGACATTGTTCAGACTTTGGTGGGTTCAGGGGCATTTAAAGAAATGCAGTTATAACAGGATGCCATATGTGATTTTCCATCACTAAATCTTTCTCAAAAACAACAGCAAGTTGTGCAACAGCATTTAAAATGATTTTTTTTTTTTTATTTCTGGAGGAACTAATTTTTCCGTTTATTATGACACCGCATAATTTGCATCCAGAGCTTTTGCAGTAGCAACTTGGGACGCATTGAGCTAAGAGTGACGGAAAGCGGTTATTGCTAATAGTTTTCTAGATGCTGGCATTTACTGAGTTTTACAATATCTATAAAATAAATGTATATATAAATCTATAAACATTTCTATAAAACTGTTACTTTTTAGGTCACATGTGTTGTGAAGGTTTTGTGTTGTTGGTTTAAAGCTTTGACTTTTGTGTTGGCTTTAGTTCAGGATTCCTCTTTTGGTGTATTCATCACTGAGTTTGAGTTTGTGCAGCATTATCTGAGCACTGGTTTCTGTTTAGGCTCATGCCTCTAGTTTTCAGCTGTACCTCCCTCCCTTAGTTGCATCTTTGTGGTGCAGTGTTTCTTTGAGTCAGTCTTGTTAAGTGTGAGTTTTCTTGTTTCTGTGTTTAGTCGTGTGTATTTTGCTTCAGTATTTTTGGCTTCCTGTACTACTTTTCTTTTCTTGGATGTTTTGTTTTGGTTTTAACTTCTTGCCTGTCTGATCGTGCTGATTACATCCACCTGTGTCTTGTTCTCCTCCTGTTTCTGATCCTGTCTGTTGTCCTCTTTGGTTTTGTCCCTTCAGTTTCTTTGTTCCTTATCACTGTTCCCACCAATGGGTCTGTACTTCCGTTTGGAATTGCTCACCTTTGGATTCTGTTTTTTGTACTTAACTTTGACTGTGTGGCTTTACTTACTG